ATAATAATAATAATAATAATAATAATAATAATAATTTTTCTTTATATTTTTCTCCTTATGGATCGAGGCGGGATTACACAATTAAATGAATACAATATGCAAAATGCAAACAATAAAATAGTGAAATCAAACAACAGTAATAAATTATAAGAGAATATAATATAATATAATATAATAGCCAATCATCGTCAGAAACTAGAAGTCTAGAAGATCAGATGGATAAGCCCACCAGAAGAGCTCTGTCTTAAGTGCCTTCTTAAAGGCATCTAGCGTAATAATAAGACGAATCTCCATAACATGGGAGCTGCAGCCATGTACGATCTTTGGGAAGTCATGTTGAGTTTGGTTCTATGATGTTCTAATAAGTTCTTCCCAGATGTTCTGAGAGTGTGGGGCGGATTGTGTGGGGAGAGGCATTCCTTCAAGTAACTCGGGCCCAAGCCATGTAGGGCTTTAAAGAGGTGATGTGATAGCCCTGTTTAAGTATTTGAATGGGGTGTCATATTGAGCATGGAGTAAGCTGTTTTTCTGCTGCTCTATCGGCCCTTAAAGGGGAAAGGTTGCCTACCCCTGACCCAGAGCAACGGATGCAAACTACAGGAATAGAGATTCCACCTCAACATTAGGAGGAACTTCCTGACAGTAAGAGCTGTTCCCTTGGAGTGGTGGAGCCTTCTTCTTTGGAGGTCTTTAAACAGAGGCTAGATGGACATCTATCAGGAGTACTTTGATTCTGTGTTCCTATATGGCAGGGGGGTTGGACTACATGGCCCTTGAGATCTCTTCCAGCTCTATGATTCTATGATTATATGGAGAGCTAATATACCTCCCTAGTTGCCCATTTCTGATAGATATGCACACATGTTTGTAAGTATGTATGAAATACGTGTATTAAAAAAAATTCTTCAGTTCATGGAAGGTCAAAAATAATAATAAAAAGGAAGTTTCTGCTTGGACTTGAATTGGTTCATTGCTAGAATAATTTTTCTTTTCTTTTCTTTTTTTTGTCCAGAAAGTCCACTTTGGCTGAGCTGTTGTGTCAATCCCTGCATGTGGGGTTAGGTGTTGATCATACTGTTCACCCTTGTTTTGAATTAGTTGGTGAGGTATTTAGCCTCATCTGTCAGAGAGTTCTGGTGCCTCACCAAACTACAAATTCCCAGGATTCTGTAGAATAGAGTTGTGGCATTTAAAGTAGTATTGAATTGCCTTATTTCTGCAGTATGGATGTAACCTCAGCAGAAGGCAGTGTCAAAACTCTTCTGAATAAATCTTTTCAAGATGTTACCTTGCAATGCAATCAGGAATGCAGTTAAACTGCTAGAACCTTTCCCAGTATACTCCATTCCTTTAAAGTGAACATCTCCAATATCTTCCATTTTCCAGGCTTTACCACATAAGGCCAGTGAGTGTGCAGGGACTCAATATTATAATTCCAACTAGAGTAGACCCACTGAATCAATTCTTACACATATTCAAATCCCATTAATTCAGTGGGTCTTCTCTTGTGAGTTCCCCTAGGTCACCAATAGGATTCAGATTTTAGTCTCTAGTGAATTGTTTTGGGTGCTGTGATTTCTTTCTTTTATTTACCCCTCTGGGACTTCTGCAGACCTTGGAGTTTTTCCCAGCTTGGTGATAACTTCCCTCCCTTGTGGACTGAGCAATTTTGGCACATGGAGAACTGTGTTTATAATTCCTATGATGGCGGTGGGTGCAAGAAAGAAATCAAATAGTTCCAATAAATTTGTTCATTCTTTTCTTATCTATTCGGAACAGATTGCTATATTCTGTTTTCTGTTTACATATTAAAGAAAAATTTACAAATAAATAAAAACATTCATCATCTGCTAATCTCGAAGCCCTGCGGAAACACTCAAAGGCTAAAAATGCCCTGGGAAGCAGATTCTGGGATTTCCATAGCACTGGCTAGTTAGGATACCATATGGCCTAGGCAGGTTCATGTGAAACAATTATAAAATTAATACACAGATGGCATCTCTCCCTGGTAAGACTATACCACCCTTTGCCAACCTAGTGCCTTCCAGATATGGTACGTTACAATTCTCATGCTGACTAGGTATGCTGGGAGTTCTCCCACCATTACATGGGTCTCTCTGTTGTGGTGCCAGGCCACTGTTTGTCTGTGTGTCCCTCTGTGCCACCAGGTGCTGTGGCTACTCTGAAGTCAGAACAAGGTGCCCAGTATTGATCTCCCAGCGGTGCCATGGTGGCACAGTGGGGCATGGTATAAACAGCTGCTTGGCATTGCAATGGAGGGCTCTGGATCTTCCAGGAGGATTTGGAGCAAAAGGCAAGATTTTTTTAAAGTTATAAGAGTAGTATAGAGCAAGTTTGATGCTGAACTGGCTGGAGGTCATCTGGACAGTTTGCACCAGAACTGGGGTTTGGGCTGTTCGTCGTCTGGAGTTGTCACAATGGGAACAGGAAAAGAATGTTTTATTTTGTCCACGTATACTGGGTCTAGATGTGTCCTTCCAGACTCAGATCTGTGGCTTCTTTGATTGAGTTCACCCATTGCCCATGTGATCTTCTTTTCCTACTACCTTGTACTTTGCTAGGCATTATCACCTTTTCTAATGAGTCATGTCATCTCTTGAGCCAAAGTGGTGTAGAGGTTTGAGTGTTGGACTATAACTCTGGAGACCAAGGTTCAAATCCCAGCTCAGCCATATAAACTCACTGGGTGACCTTGGTAAGTCACATACTCTCACTTATGCCAATGCTCCTTGGAACAAATCTTGCCAAGAAAACCCCATGACAGGTTCCCCTTAGGGTTGCCATAAGTAAGAAATGAGTTGAAGGCACACAACAACAACAACAATCATTTCATCTCATAATATGTCCAAAGTTCCACAGCCTCAGTTTATTCAATGTGAGAAAAGGCTCAGATTTGATTTGCTTCAGGACCTGTTTATTCCTCTTTTTGGTTTCTGTAGAACTCTCCTTTAGCACCACACTGGTAATGAGTGAAAGCATTTTATGATGTGTCCAAAGTATGATTGCCTCAATTTCATCATTTTTGCTTCAATTGAGAGTTCAGGCTTTGTTCTCAGTTATCCCTACATTATGTAAGGCTGGAATGCCAAGATCTGGCAAACAGTACTGGCTGAGAAATTAAAAGATAGTAGCTGAGAAACTAGGGAAACTTGAGAAGAGGGTTGTTGTAATGACACATAATTCCTTTTTCTCTCATGCATAAGGCAATGGGCTCATGATCTCCAGCCTTTGGCACTTCAGAAGTTCACTTGCATGAATAAAACTGAGAAATGTTTTCTTAATTAGTTTTATTGCTATCTCAGTTCTTGTGCTAATATTTAACACCCGTTAAACCTTCACCAACTTCATGCTTGTGAATCATGAGTTGTTCTTTATTATGTTTAACTTTTTTGCAACAACACAAATGCACATATGGCTGAACTCCTACACTGTGCTTTGTGTTGTATAACTCTATACTTACTTTGCTCCCCAGTGGTTACACTAAACCATCCTTCTGCTGAATATTAGATCATGTAACCAGTCATGTGTCTGCCAACATGCTTGTTTGTTGTCCACTAGAGCAACAAAAGATGAATCTTGGCTGTTTCTGTAAACCCAGTGATGAAAGGGGTATATTGAAGAAACTGGGGAATGGTTACACAGCAATTGCACCAGCATGTGCAACTGTGTGTATTAAATATAGTATGTTGTCAGACCCATGTGCATGGTTCTTTCATGATGATAAGATGGCATGAGGATATAATGATATAACACTGTAATAACCTGATGAATTATTGGGAATATGGATATGGGAACTATTGAAATGTATTGTATATTAATCATGTATACGCTCTGGGCGTGGTAACAAACGGAGGGGCAAATGGTAAAAAAGTGAAGGTTTATAGTTTCATGACCCTACCTTTCCTGCAAGAGGATTTAGGTTGTAAAGAAGGGACACCTTCCTTCCTTCCTTCCTTCCTTCCTCTTCTTCCTCTTCTTCTTATTAAAGTTTATTTCTAAAGTGCTGTCAATGTACACAGAGCTCTACAAAGAGATAATCAAAGAATTAAAATAAATAAAAACCTGCCAAAGGTGTACAATCTAAAAATTAAAAAAATAGGTAAAATAAAAAATAATTAAAATCAAGGAACAATTAAAAACAACACACACACACACACAAACCATTCCTTTAAGGTGAATGAATGATAAACATGGAAGGGAGACATATGCAAAGGGGTCTTGTAGCATCTTTGATATTAACTTTGCAAAAAAAAAAAAAAGTAGCATAAGCTTTTGTAGACTTGGTCTTGAGAGATGCATGGAGTGAAGTGTTGCCCAGGAAAGACATTTATAACCAGACTATATGAATAGCCATAGAAATGCTAAACTTGTGGATATGATCCCTTGTGGCCCCTTCCAGTTCTTGGGTTCTGTACTGTTTTCATTTTCAACTCTGTGTTTCTCCAACATCATTTTAGACATGTTTGTGTGTTTGCTTTGCCTTTTGGATTTTTTTAAAAAATCCTATCTTCAGCTAAGAATATGTTTACAGCAACAGGTTTCCAGCAGGCACTGTGGATTCAGATGGGAAAGTCTGACACAAGATATCTTACTACTTGAGGCATCAAAAATTGAAGTTTAACAAGAACATCATGTCATTCTTCTTCTCCCACATTCCAAATACAGAAATCAACTAGAGTGGCAGCCTCTGCCATTCCTTCAGATCTGATCAAAGGACAGCATTGTCCCACTACACTTCCAGTCATCCAACTGGGATGCAAAACAGTATTTGCACAGTGATGTTGACTGTGTTTTGACTTCATATCCTCCAACATTTTGAAGATGGAAACAGGGACATTTGTGGCCAAGCAACATCAATGTGTGTAGTTATTAATGAGGAAGAACAGACAAGCTAGGAGGTACTGCAGCAGTTTGCTTTTGCCAGGGGCTACTGGGAAGGACAAAATTCTGTTCATTCTCTCCCTTGCTGAGTTAAATGAGTGCAAATTACTTTTGCAGTTTGCACTCAGTTTGTACCAATTGAACAAGAAGAAGATGAAGGGGGAAATGAGAGAAGAGAGAAACTGGGACATTTTAAAAGTAGCCGAGAAAGTGAGACAATAGAGAATTAATCAAGACTACAAAATCAGAGTAGTTGGAGGATATGCTGTATTAATGATGAAGCAAGCATATTTTCTGCTGCTCCAAAGAATAGGACCCAGAGCAAAGTACAGGAAAAGAGATTCCATCTCAACATTAGGAAAAACTATAGTTTTTTGTGGGCTTTTCGGGCTTTGAGGCTTTGTTCTAGAAGAATGTATTCCTGACATTTTTCCTGCATCTGTGGCTGACATCTTTAGAGAATGATGGCATGGAGGTGTGGGGGGTATATATATATATATATATATATATATATATATATATATATATATATATATATATATATATATATATACTCTGTGACCCTTGTTTGAGAGAAGGTGATTTACATGTTAATCTGTGTGTTGTTCTGTTGTTGAATGGCAAGGCCTCAGGGTGGGAGGACATGCAAGGAGGATTTCTGTCTATTTAATCAATGGTCCACTGTATCTGCTGAGTCTTGATTTTGGTGTTTTTTAGGATTTGTAGCCAAACCTTGTTTACTTTAAGGATTTCTTCTTTCCTGTTGAAATTGTCTAGGTGTTCGTGGATTTCAATGACTTCCCTGTACATTCTGACCTGTCCATATGTGTAGTTTTTCTGTATACTGTGTGGCCCAATCGTTGGTTTGGTTAGGAAGAACTTGTCAACAGTGGACAGTTTGACAGTGGAAGATGGAGATTTCCTTTGGAGATTTTGGAAGTGCTTTGATGGTGTCTTTCTGTATGGCAGCATAGGATTGGACTGGATGACCCTCGGGGTCTCTTCCAACTCGATGATTATGAGTCACTTAGGAAATGCAGAAGACAGCCATTAGTGAAAAAAGGCAAATGATGTATGATCACAATTCAAAACTGTCCTGTGAAAAATCCCCACGCCATGCTTACAGGCATATTGTTCACATGTGAAAGAAGCCAGCAAGAGATGGATATAGCCATGGAGCTTCAGCAGAGGTGACACAACAGCAGCTATTGGACTAATGTTCTTCCAATATGTAGTCACAGACTGCCAGGAAGCCCCCCCCTTTTTTTTTAAAGGCCCCTTCTGCAGGAAACAGCAAAAATGGGAGGGATGGGAGGGTGGGATTATGGGATGAGAGATGTTTTAACCTGTCAGTTTTAATATGTTGTAACCCGCCCCGATTGCTCTGCAGAGGGGCGGGCTATAAATAAAAAAACATTATTATTATTGTTATTATTATTATTATTATTATTATTATTATTATTATTATTATTATTATTATTAAAAAAAATAGAAGTGGCCCAAAATTCGCATTGTTTTTGAAAATAAAAACTGGTATTAAGAAAAGAAGACCAATGGTGCAACCTATTCCACCACCACTACCCCATGGCAACCTAGTGAAAAAGTGACTTGCCATTCTTGGGGGCATCAAGGAGATACAATAAAAGTCCCTCCTATTTTTTTTTCCCCCAAGGACAAAAGGCTAATCTATTATTGAGAAAGAAGTCAGGGGTTACAATAACAGGCTTTGGGGCTGTGTATGGTCCCAGGGTAGCCTTTGCTAATCCATGAAGTAAAAGAATTATTTCAAAATGATTCATGAAGATTCTGAGCATTTGCTTGGCAACAGAACTCACAAAATTCTTTTCTTTGGAGTAGATATTGCCACATGTTCTATAATCAAGACTACAGCTCTGTGTTTTCTTTATTTTTTAGACCCCCCTCCCATACACCCAGACACACACAAAGAGAAAACTCAGTTATTTTTGTAGTGTAGTGTCCCTCATTTAACAGTAGCCTGGAGATAGATTTGTCAAGGCACATTGAATTGTGCCAAATGAGACTTATTTTCAACTGATGGGAGCAGAATATTGTATGCTTTGACAATTGGTTTTAAAAATAATAAAAATCTCATTCCCTCACCCCCTCTCCTCATACCATGTAGTTTCCATTTTGGTAAGTGATGTTTTACTTCAATTACATCTTGAATCCTATTTCCAGTCCTTGAATCCAAGTTTCTCTATCTCCCTCTACTTTATAAAAAAAAAAGTATGATTGTATCAAACATCCACCATATGAAAAAAAATGTTCCTTTTTCTTCTCCATCATAATAATATTTTCTGGTTTTGCTTTGGTTTCATCAAGTCCTGCCCCACTTTTTATTTTTGTACATATCCCTTTCATTGTCACAGCAACCAAATTATGGTTGAATTATACAGTCTTTGACCTCTTCACCTGGGAGTAAAAAATGAGTGCTTGCTTCTGACACTTAGGACTTGCTTCTGAGTAAACATACATGCTTCAAGTGTGCATAATCCATAGCAACTGCTGACTTCTGTGTGAGTTGTAGTTGTTGGTGAATTTGCTCTGGGGTTTAGTCTAAATTTTAAAGCAATCCCAAGTTCTGAATCCTTTCCCCAAATAGGCACTCCTGAAAGAGGCCCATCCAGAGTTTCTTTAAAAACCTCCAAAGAAGGAGACTCCATCACATTCCAAGGTAGCATCTTCTACTGTCAAACAACTCTTACAATCAGGAAGATCTTCCTAATATTTTGGTGGAATCTCATTTCTTGTAGCCTGAATTCATTACTCC